ATATTATCAAATTTACCTATTCAAATCAAGGGTAAATACAATTAATTTAAGAAATCTTTACTTATTTCTAGATCATTTTTGCAGTGATAGCTACATTTCACTAAATATTCCATAATTTTTCATGTTTCAGATCAAGACAGCAAATTTGATGACATTACATTTATTATGCTACTTCTTTATTAGCAGTATTCCTGTGTAGGAGCTCGTCTGCAAAATGTCCTAAGATGCTATTGAAGGTTTTTTTTACTAGCGCTCTAATTTGATTTTCCGCTTTTCTTTTACTTACCGTTTGTCCCACATAAAAGGGTTCTTACCTCAGAGGACAAGATAAAGTTTGAAAAAACACTTCATGTTTAATTTAGCAGTGAAATGCAAAATAAATCAAACTGCTCTCTGCTTATCTGAATCGTTTTTGTCATATTTTTATTTCTGGTTTAAAATTGAGGAAAAAAAATGATACATTGATTGATTGTCTATCTCTTCTCTCTAAGGTTAATTACAAATTACGAAATATCATCACGCCACTGTGATTTATATTCACGGCTAGGATGGTCTGGTATGGCTGCTCCAAGGAATTCCTATAGGTTTACTTTTATTTATAAAGTATTACTTGGATTAATTCTGGTCTGTATCAGTTCTGCAATTACACTGAAGCATGTGTTGCTGCTTTTTGGCCAGGACTCTAAAAAAAAGTTTTTAATCTCAATAGGACTATACAGGTTTTAAAGAAAAAGGGAGGATGAATTTGAAATTTAAGTTATTTAGTTTCTGACCCATCTTAATTCTATTCATAGGTGCAGGGAAGATGGTGTTTGAATATAAAACAAAAATGCTTTGACTACAGAGGACTGATCCCATTTACCTTCCCTCCTTCCTCTTCCCATTTCAACCTATAGGCTAACATCACATGTAATGTCAGTCTGGTACGCCATCATGTAGGCATCATTAATTAATTAATTACCGGATTAAATTACATAAAGTAAAATTTGTCTTATTTGTAAGAAAATCATATTTTTAAAACTAAAATTCAATATATTATTTGGTGTCAACTTTGCCAACTTTTCATCAGTTTGGAGCCTCCATCCCATCAAAGCTTCTCTGATTCTGCAGGGAAGTTGTAAACGTTTCGCTGCACATTTAGCAGTAGGTGAAATATTTTCAGCAGTAGTTTCCAGCATGTTAAGAACTTTTGATGCAAAGCCATGATTCCTGCATGATGTATTGACTTTAAAGGTTACACAGGAAGACACTGATATGAGCCCTGACCTCCTTCATGCCAATCATTCCGATGATTACTGAAATACCTCATTTTTCTTTTGTCCTCTTTAACAGCTTCAACTTTTCTGATGGTCATTTTGGGCTTGAATGAAAGAAAAACTAATTTTCTTTATCTTGATAAAATATGCTTCTGATTCGCTGCAAAAGTCATCTATAGAGAAGTGAATCAGCAGCATCGAAACTGAACATCAAAATGTTTTTTGTCTGCTAGAAGTCTTTGTCATGAATGCATCTGACGGATAAATGTTATCCAAGGGAGAACTGATGGATGATAAATAGGGACAAACAGATGAAGCATGAAAATTTGAAATGACACGTATGATGCTCCTCATAAAACAGGAAGCATTAATGTTCTACAGGGATCTGCTGCATTAGTTGTAGATAAATTAATGCTGCTAAATTTCTAAATGGTGTAGAGGAGGACCGGCTGAAGGATCAACTAACAAAAATACATTTTATTTAAGAAAATAAAATAAAATAAAATAGAGACGAAAAAGCTTTAAAAAAATAATATGGTGACAGGAATAAATAAATCTATAAACCTAAACAAAAATCCAACATTGGAGCAATTGTTAGATAATTTGAGGTAAACAAAGACAGTATATTTTACTATTTTATATATTTGCATGTAGAATTCAGAGCCTGTAACCTGGCAGCCAGTTTATTAACGTAACGTTGCACTAAGGTTTAGTTCAATGCATTAATAATCTGGGACGTTCAGCAGAACTATCGGGCCTGATTGGCAGAAGTGACTCGAGGGCCCGCCTACCAAGGTTTGGTTTTAACCAATCACCAGAGATGGGAAGTAACGAAGTACAAATACTTCGTTACTGTACTCAAGTAGA